TATTTTGTTAATACACTCACACTCCCCCATTTAAACATGCAGGATTTGCTTGTAAACATAAATTAACTAAATGGAAGAAAATTTTTATTTTCGAAAAATAATAAACACACATTTCTTTTACCAGCAATAACTGTTTCACAATTTACTCCTGTATATCCAGGCATACATTTACAACTAAATCCGTTGGATCCAACTGATTGACATCTAAAAAATTTAATTTAGTATTTTGATTAATATTAACTAAATTTGTTCATTCATACGTTCCACCGTTTCGACAGATATTGGGCGTTGAAATACACATATTATTATCTATAGATATAAATCGAAGCATAAGTTTGATTTCTAAAGAATCACTTTTACTTATGATTTGTTCACATGTTGCACCTGTATATGATGACAAACAATGACAGTATGGTGCATTATTAATTTCCAAACAACTAAAACATTTTGACAAAATTAAATAATCAATTCGAGAAAAGAAAAATGAATGAGCTCTCACGTGCCACCATTTCTACATGGTGATGGAGAACAAACTATTGAAAAATATACAATAAGTATAAAAAAAACTATTTTCCTTGTTGCAGATTTTTACTATTATTTTGATATTGACATTGAGAACCATAATATGGATTTCTACAAGTACATTGATATGATAGATTGACTGCTGTACAAGTACCGCCATTCAAACATGGAGAGCTAGTGCATGGATTCGATGTCTCTTTAATTAAAATAAATCAAGAAGACAATAAGTAACATCACACTAAGTTTTGTTGAATTTCTTCGAAAATCTTTTGCAAACAAGAGAAATTCTCCAACTGATAAATAGTTTTTCGGTTAAGACTACAAATATTATCTAGACACAAATGAGTAATGAATATCCTGAAAACAGTTTAAATCTTTAGCTTATTGCTGTAGAGATATTGCACTATAACAATATTTTTTAAATCCATGCGTTAATAACAAAAAATCGAGTTTTAAATTTCGACTTTAAACTTTGCATTGAGACACGCCTAGTTTTTTTTTGTGAATATTTTTTTTTTCTTAAAATACCATAAAATAGATCTACAACTATTTTCAATAAGATCTTTGTATATGCAAACGTTCAAATCGAAACTCGACAATCAATTTTTTTGCTACTACAGCATTTCCTTAAAAACCACCATTAAGGAACAGTATCTTCGTAGCAATAAGCTTAACGAACGAACTCTTTTCAGGATACTCATAGTTCATTTGCATCTAGAAAATTTCCTGTAGCCTACACGCAAAAACAATTTATTACTTAAGAAGACTTCTTTTGTAAGAACTTACCACATCTTGAACCTGAAAATCCGGCTGGACATTGACAATAGAAAACTGTATTATCATTCAATGCTAGACATGTTCCCCCGTTCAAACAAGGTGCTGATGCACAAATAGCTGAAAATAAAAAATAAAATAGATCATAGATTAATTGAAACTATAAACTATTTACATATTGGTTGAATGAATGTTTCACAATAAGTTCCGGTATATTGTGGAGTACATGAACAAGAATAAGCAGAATTTAAACCAGAAACACATACACCATTATTTTGGCAAGGTGAAGGTTGTGTGAGGCATCGATTTAAATCTATAAAATATTATTTTTAAAAGACCACAACATATGAGTTTTTAGCATACTTTCGCATCGTGATCCATATGTAAAATCATTACAAGTACAAACATATGAATTAGTGAATGGTGATATACTGCAAGTAGCACCGTTGAGACATGGATTTGATGAACATGATGATACTGCTGCTGGAGTTGCTATTTAGGAAAAAGAAACAAAACAGATTTGAAACAGTAATTAAAAGCTAATAGCTAACTTGGAAGTGTTGTTGTTATTGTAGTCACTTGATCACAATTTTTACCACCTACTGGAAGGTTTGGTGGACAATAACAAACGTAATCTGTATTGCCATTTATTTCCAGACATGTACCACCATATCGACAGGGATTTGACCAACAGACTACAAAAAAAATATAGATGAATTTGAATGAAATTATTCGTTCAATATTTACTGCTAGTTTGTCCATGAACGATTGTAAGCGTCCAGAAGACAGCAAAAATAAAAGAATAGAGCTCGTAATGCATTTGAAGATATTATCAAATGTGATTTCGAAAAAAACAACCCTTATATTTATATCAAAGCTTAATAAAAACAATATTAATAACAATGTATCACATCATGATATTCGAGAAAGACAGGCTTAGAGAGATATTCGAAAAATAAAAACGAATTCAATTATACAAATGCGTAAAAATCATGGAATTAAGAAAATTAAATTCAATTATATGATACGTCCATCCTACGTTTGAATCAAAAAATAGAAAATCAACAAAAGAAAAAACATAAAAATAAACCTCTATAAGAAAAAAAACATCGATTGGAGTCTTTATTTCATTGAATATCAATCATCAAACAAGTGAATCACAGTATCAATCCAATTAGTTTAGAATATTCCATAAACCAATGATTTAACAAATCAATGGATACGTAAAATCAACATTGAAAATCATTTTCAAACATATTGATATGTTATGAGGCTGTCGTTGTGTATTCAGCTGAAGTACTAAAAAGTACATTTGATAAATATACTATTAGTAAGACAAAGAATATATTTGATAATACTACAAAAAAAAAAGCAATATTTTGTCTACAGCTCATCGAGCCGGACACGAGCAGGCCTCAAGTCCGATGAACTCTTATTTAGTGTAATCGGAAATATTTCTTGTAATGATTTTTATCATTGAATTAATTCTCAAATGTTAAGAAACTATAATTATCTTTTTACAATTCACAAAAACAAAATAGTTTTCAAAAGAATCATCAAGTTTCATATTACATCAATAATCATTTTAAAAAATATCATTTCATTTTTTTGTTTTTGTTTTCTTATAGATCAAGTGTCGTTCGATATTATAAGCATGGATGTTAAATAAATAATGCATGACTTACACCAGCCTTCAACATTCTTTCATCATTGTCTAATCCATTTTCTTCTTCTTTTTTTCTCTTACTATGGCACTAGTATATTAAAGATGTCTATCTATTTGTGTGCACAATGGGTGTCGACACATCATCGGTAGAATGATCGATCGATGTATTGCTCATACTTGTATGTGTATTATTGACTTCAGTAATTATAGTCAGTATATAATCTCAAGAGGCGTACCATAAAACAAAAAAAAAGAAACTGAGAAGTCAAGTAATACATGACTTTTTTTTTCACTTTCTCTTCTTCTTCTATATATATAAGGTGGCAAATCAGTGCCGAACAAAAAATAGCTATTAAGCCGACAGGATATGAAAATTAAAATGAAGAAACATCAGAGAGAAAAAATAAAAACATTTTCAATTCCCTTACGAGTAGAAATACATGTCAATGCATATTTTAATCTGATCTAAAGTAAAAATCACATTAGTCATTTCATGAAGATCTACTAATGACTTATAAACTTTATCATAATTTGGTTCGTTAGTAATTGAAAGTCTAATAACAATCGATCATATTTTTATTTCGTTAAATCTTGACTATCTATTACTATCAATTTGTATTGAAACACATTTTCGGCTTGCTCAAAAGTAATAGATATGATTTCTCATCATATAAACGGCATGTACACCTGCTCATCCACAATGTAAGAATGATTTCGAACTGAAAAGAACCATCAACTACATCAACACATAATCGAACTTTTGATAGAAAACAAAACAATATCTAACATATAAATTAGTAGTAATCGCCTACTAGAAAAAGTTGTGTCTCCTACACGATATGCACACGGTTTGAGTATCATCGAAATCAAGTTGTCGCGACTTGTAGATGCCATCCAGAATAACAGTTAATATGCATAAGACTATCAACTATCGCATGAAACATTCATTGAACGATGCATTAAGATAATTCAGGTCAATTTTATTTTCAGTTTCTATAATCTTGTTTTCTTAATTATTTTAAGAAAAATTACAAACAATAATGATTAATTTATCTGTCAAATGATTTTCTAGAACATTAACAATATCACATAGAGAAAATATTTTTAATTCTAGAAAACGGAGCGTCTAAAAATGAGAACACATTTAATCGATTAAGTTTTTATTTAAATACACAAAAGTAAATAGTGGCAGAGCAAAGATTTTAAGATGAACTTCATCACTGAAAACTAACGTTAAATTAAGTTTACGACAAGTAAGATTTTTTTCACCTAGGTATTTCTTTATCCTTTCATTGTACTATATTTGATTTTTACTCTGTACTAATTTTGTTTTATCAGCATAAGGACGACGTCCCTCGGAATAAATCGATTTTTTGACCCTTTCGAAAGATAAAAAATCTGCAAACAATATTGTATAACGAAACGTAAGAATATTTAAGTAAATATTTTGTTTTTATTTTTTTTCTTATGTTAATGAGTCTCATAGAAATGTTCAACTCTAAAAGAAGAAAAGAATCTCATTCGTCGTTAGTCGAAATTATTTTTGATCAATGAGAATTTTTCTCTTTCTATATTACATAGATTATGTATGTTGACCAACAAGAAAAAGCAGAAGAAGACAAAAAAAACAAAAAAAAAAGAGATTTATGAACGAGTCACAATTTCTTCAAGATTGATGATTTCATCAAATTAAAAACGACAATCAATACTATTCTTAAAAAAAAAAAAAGAATACATCAATCTCCATCATAATCTATCATGATGAATCAATACCATCATTCTCAAACATATACAAATTTTCCATCTCATCATCATTTTCATCCTAATAATACAACAATAAGTAATAATATTACAACTATTTCTCAAACACCAACAATAACATCAACAAATTATAATTTACTTGATGAAAATTATTTTTATACATCATTTTCATCACCAAAACATTATCAACCAATATTTTATGATTCAGAAAATTCTTATGAACAATATTCAATTGATAATTCAACAACAATTGAATCAATTTATCATCCAAATCAATCATATGATCAATGTCATAATTATTCAAATAATTTACAATTAAATCAACAATCTTATGAAGATTTTTCATTATCAAATAATCAAACACAAATTATTGAACAGTCATCAATTGAACAACAACCAATTGTTGTTACCGAAGCTAAATATAAATGGATGCAAATTAAACGTACACCAGCTAAAACATCAGGTAATTAATATGAGTACGCGTCCGAAAATTTATTCCATCAGATAGAAACACAAGAAAAATGATGAGAAAACATGTACAAGTGTCCAATAAATAGACGATGAAGAATTTTTTTTTTGTTTTGTAGAAAATTCATCAGTTATTTTATCTACAAATCATCGAACAACTTGTCACGATAGATGATTGATGTTGTACGAATACCGCTGAGAAATTCTAAATCGATCGTCATGATAACCCATCTGGAATTATAACTGTACAATAAGAGATATATGAGTTATTTTTTTTTAAATGAATTTTAATTTTTGTTAATCAGAAAATCTTTCTTGATTTTGTTTTGAAAAATCTAGTAAAATTTCGATATTTTGAGAATGAAAAATCAAAGCATTTTAGACTTTTCTATTCCTTATCAAATAAACATCGTCTTGGTCCAAAAAAAAAGTGATTTGACATGTTGAGAAGTTTCCTTATAAGTTTTTCGAATGAAATCGATTATTATTAATAGCATATATATTTTCAATATCTACTATAAATTACAAAATTATATATTTGGGGAGATATTTCTTTTTTTTTGGAAGCATGTATAGGCGTAACCCATTCAAATCTTGAAGATTATTTGTTTTTTTTTTCAGCAGAGTTTTAATGCTTACATCAAGTACTGCCGTGGGAACTTCTCCTAATGATCAATCGATTTTTAGACTAAGATGATATTCATTTGATGAGTACTAATAAATAATAGAAAAATCTTGAATAGTTGTGTTGCTGAAGTTTTTTATTGTTGAAATGGATATTTTTTTACAAAAAACTGTGATCACTTAAAAATTTGACCTTCGAGTTTTGATTTCAAACTCTTTGCCCAAACAAAATTCTTACGTTATTGAGATTAGTTGATTATGCAATTAGTATGTTCTTTGTGAAGGAATCAATATATAAGCAGAATTTACTTTCAAACATGATAAAATTTCGAATATTTAATATCTCAAGATAGAAGACACTAAAGACCTATGGGTAAAGATAATTCATCAAAGGTATAAGCAAAAAAAAAAAAAAAAGGAAATATCTATCATCACTTCACTTGTTACTTAATGTTTTCTTTTATTGAAAATTTTCATGATGATGCAATAGATGATCATACATACTCATACACATATGTTTATTTGAAGGTAAACCGACAGATTGTATCTATGGTTCATCAACAGATTGTTTAACGAATAATTCAGCAAATACTGGCCGAACAAGTTATTCAAATAAACAATTGACTGTATGAATAAAAACTTTTTCTGTTTTTTCTTTTTATTGTATATGAAAATTTATTTTAATTTAGGAACTTGAAAAAGAATTTCATTTCAGTCGTTATTTAACACGAGCAAGACGTATTGAAATAGCTACATTATTACAATTAAATGAAAATCAAGTAAAGGTAAAATTAAGTTTGTTTTTTATTATTTAACACACATAAAAGTTTATGTTTAATATATATATAGATTTGGTTTCAAAATCGTCGTATGAAAGATAAAAAAAGAAAACACGGAAGTATGTGATTTAAACATCAAGTTCTCATAAAATTTCTTTTTAATATTATAGCCGATAATCTGGCGTATGATTCAATGTGAAGTATTTATGTTACATAGACAGTATTTTATTCGATCGGTGTTGTTATAATTGTTTTTTTTTCCCCTTTTGCATTGATTGTATTTAAAAAAAAAAGAAAGAAGTCATTTAATTTCAAATCGTTTCATATCGATTTTTATTCAATTTTCTTTCGTGTCATAGATTATCGAATTGTTTAAATGCCTTAAGGATAGATCAACAAAATTTAGTCGATCACTCAATTTTTTTTATTTGACACGTTAAAGATGAGATTCAATACGGATATATTTTCATTTGTCTAAAGCGTGAAAATTTACTCCTGTGAAAATATTAAATCAAACCGGAAGTTTTGTTTTTTTTTTTGTTTTATTTGTTGCTCGACATCACAACGATGATTCAAGCGAATATTCTCATTCATTCATCAAATGACAACGACAAAGTTAATTCGATTACGTTTTTGCTTAGTTAAAAATCATCAGGGAGAACGATCGATTAAATTCATTGTTGTTTTATATGTAAATTTAAAAGAGAAATCTGCATTGGGAATATATGTAAGCAACAATGTGTGAAATTGAGTGAAGAAAATGAACAAGCGAAGAGACCAAAAAAAAATAGATCAAACAAATGAAAAAATTATTTAGTTTTAACATATCTTTTGCATTAAAATTTTGACTAATAATTTCTGTTGCTCTAGATCGTTTTTGATAATTTTCTTTTATATGTTATTCCTTTTGGAGCAGTCTTCCAGCGTTCATACTATCGGCAAATTATAAGCTGTATACTGTGAAACAATGGATGGTTCATTTTGTAAAGCATGAAATGTTCTGTTGAACTTGATATCTATCTTTGCTTCCATGCTTATTTATTCGAAAGTGGAAGAAAAATTAGATTAGTCAAATAAAAGATTCGTTTGCGAAAAATAATTAGATAAAAAACTTTTTCTCAATGACTTTCGCGTTATTTGATAAAATGTACGGTGGTTTCTGGATCAAAATGCATAGAATTTTACAGTATTTGATTTATTTTATGATGAAAGGTCACTTTATTTTTATTCTGAGCATATTAAATTCTGAATTAAAACGTAGTTTTATCACATGAGCTATAAGTGGACTGTTGTGATTTTTCGAACAAAATTTTTTCATATATAATATTTTAAGCAATAGTGAGTCAATGTGGGTGGTATATTATATCATTGAGCTGATTTCATATATAGAATCTCAGTGAACTATAATCAGTTTTTTTTATTAAGATAACATTCTTTGTGTTATGTTTACATTGAAGTAAGTAGGAAGGCGTAGACCCACGTCTGTGTAGATTTGTACTCTAGAAAAGTTAAACTTCTGGATTTTTAAGACCAAGGCCCAAGCATTTTTTCTAGCAATATCTGATGTCTTTTGTATACATGAATAAGTGAAAGATCAAGGTTTTAGCTGTTTACTTGATTATTCTTAGCTAAAAGTCAACATACAGTTATTCGCTATTGTTTACTTGTCCATCACTCAATGCTTAGTTAGAAAATGATCAAACCAGCGGTAACACTAAAATCTTCAGCTTTATGCAACTAATGTAAGGAGCTGCGAATCTACATTTTTGTAAGTCCACAACTTCCTAATAGTAATTTGTATCTCGACTAATATGCAATTGGAAAATTTGCTGTGTAACATACACATAGAGTATAATAAAAAGTATTATCTAGAAATTGTTTAGTACTGTGTGGCAACTATGCCAAAAGATTCTAATTTCCTCGAATATTAAATAATATACAGCGACTAAGAAATAATAAGTAATGTTAATACATAGCTAATATTAGATAGAGAAGCAGACAGTACTAATATAATGTATTTTTTTATGTTCCTCATTTGTTTAGTTTTCAAACCTAAATCCGTTACTTAATTAAATAATATTCGTTCTTCAAATGATCTAGTCAAGTGACGAATTATTTTAATTAATTTTTAAGTTAAGTAAAGGTTAAATAAGAAAAAGCACATATCGAAATCGTCCTACATGTGCGGATCCTATTATTATTATTTTGAATAGAAAACAATATAGAATACAAATTTATTAAATATGAAATTACAGTATTATTTAGTTTCAGCTACAATAGCTGAAGATGTAATCATGGAGCAAAGCAAATATAAATGAGAAAATATCAATTTTTGAATTTTTACTATTACGAATGATGTTAATAAATTCCTGGCGTTTTTTTTATATTCTAAATCATCATTATTAATTTTCTCTAGAGAATTCTCTGATTTCTACATTAATATTTCGTAGTAAAGAACAAATATATCATGTTTATATATGATTCATACTAGCGTATTGTAAAATGAACTATTATCAATATATTGTCGTACTAATGAGTTAGATTTTTTTCAACTGAATAATATGAAGATAATCTAATACTTGAAAATACTGAGCAACAAGTGATAGAATTTCTTCCTGCGCTCTGGATAGAATGAATATTGTATAATGTTTTTGCTAAAATGATATTCAATATTAAACAATATTCTGGTTTCATGTTAGCTCTGGAACCTTTCATTACACATAACTTCAATAAATCATGTACACGATAGCAAGCTGTACCATGTAAATATTCTTTTAATTAGGTGTTATGCACTAACCACAGTTTTGATACTATGAGATATGACAAAATGATCGAAGTACGGAGAACATTAGAAACAATGACATCATAATCCGATGAAGATAAAGAGATTATGGCATTAATGAGAGTTAAGAATGATACGGATTCATCATTCGTGCCTTTCTTAATTTCATATGGATCTCTTCATGAGAATGGGATGACCATACTACATTAATATGAGCTAAACAGAAGACACTCAAAAACTACGTTTATAAGTATTGGAAAAAAACTAAAAAAAATATCTTAACAAGTCAAACGAAGCTTTAGTTTTTCATGAAATGCTTGAATCATATATGATCATGACCTCGCTTGAACGCTTCCAAGTACATAATAAAAGTATGGTGTTTAGAAAAAATACAGAGAAACAAATAATTAAAAAGAGATTTCATGTGCAGGTACCTATTTTTCTCATAAAGACCTTTATTCGCACAACAGACACAATGAATATACTCAATAATTCTATGCCAATTATCTCATAATAGATCGCTATTTCAAATTATATTTGTAACTCCATCTTTTTCCGTGTTATTTCCAACTAACATTCTTTATTATTATTTTTTTAATTTCATATTACTACAAACAAAAGTGACGATTATGATTTTTTTTACGGAAATTGTCGCGAACGAACGTATAGTACAAGAAAATAGCAGCGAATAGAGTCCATCGAGTTCAAAGTTTTAAGATTTTAATCTAGTCTAGGACAAAACCGATGGACTGTAGCAGCTATAACGTGAGTGGAAAAAAAATACATCAAAATGTTTCTTTTTCATTAATGAGTGATTTTGTATTTCTATTTTGTATTCTCAATATAATTCTTTCAAAAACGTCTTTGTAATCGATCAAACTCTTTTTTTCTTGAATATGAATTTTTTTTACGGTTCAACCTATTTAATCACCTTCTTTCAATTTGTGTTTCTCTATTAAGTGATTCTTGATTTTTCAATAGATAATATCATTTATTTAGAATATTGATAAGTTTGTATGTGTATTTAGTAGTTTCTTGTTACCTATGTCACCAAATATAGTTAACTTGTTAATCTTGAGTTGTTTATCTTCTAATTACATGCTACTCTAATTTTTCACTCTTGTTAACATTGTTCTACTAAATGATTCTCAATCAACCAAAAATAGAATTTAATACTTTTGACATTTCATTATCTTTCTGCCACTTGATTTTACAATTGTACACTTCTAACAAATACTAAATTAATTGTTGTATTGTACTATAAACAAAAAGATTGAATATGATTCATTTTATCTGAATAAAAATATATGTGTATAAAAACTATTATTGTACTATTATCAAAGATTAAACATAGTATACATTGGCACTTGGCAATATTTTAAACAAAATTGAATATATGTATGCATTCGCAAACTTTAGTTCGAATGAGTATATTTTTATTATTGTTTTTTTTTTGCGATTTATGGCTGCATCATTTTTTGTTCTCTGTATAACAACAGAGATTATCGAAACATTAAAAAAAATTTCCTTTTTTTTTCCTCATACTTCGAGCAGTATGTCAGATACTTGTTTTAATAGTTTTACACCTCTCGATGAATACTATTTCTACTGAAATAATTGCTTTAGTTCTAAATCTAGTGTTGAAGATCACACGTCTGCAATATGTCATGAAAAATTTTAGATAAAATTTTTAATATTTGAAATTTGATACAGAATTCAATGCTCTCTATTACAGCAGCATATAAATTAATCATAGAACCATGTAAATATTGTTTTTAAAATAAATAAATCTCATCTCTAAAAGCCATCAAGGACATTTGTTGACAACATTGCTGAAAATTTTACATCAAACTACTCTAATCCAAAGTGTCTGGAGCGGGTCCTTTCATTTGAATAAATAATTTATTCTCTTCAAGTCACAACCGAAGGAAAATGTATTATGAAATATTAAACAGAAAAGAGAAAGTTACTGTTGATATTTTCTTTTTATGATAGAGAGAAAGTCATATTATGTTTTATCTTTCTTCTTCCTGTGTAAGTTATTTTTACTTTCAATGATGTCAGTAAGATAATAGGCGAATAACAAATGCAGATAATTTTCGTTTTGCGTCGAATTTTTTAGATTGAAGTCATATGCCTGTTATGTCCGTCGCTGATTAGACAGAGTGAAAATAAAACATAGAAATATTCGAGATCTGCATAGTGTCAACTAAAATGATTTTCGCTAAGCTCAGTCTATTAAAAAAAAATACCTCTTTGATTCACTGAATTATCATTTTCTATCTATCATTATAGATTTTATACATTTATTTTTGTTTTATAATAATAAATATAGGAAAAATTTAATGCAAAAGAAAACAAAACAATAATCATTATTATTTAATTGATAGTGCATTCTGAACAATTCATAATGGGAT